GCTTCAGCAGGCCCCCCACATGCACCAGCCGGGGGTCCAGGTCCTCGAAGAAGTGCATGTCTGACGTGTTGAAGCACGGGTCATCGTAGAAGTCATCAGCGGCCGCGAAGGAGCAGAGGGAGCCCTCCGTCATCTCCATGGGGCCCAGTAAGTCCATGGGGGCGGCGGAGGAGACAGTGGCTGGGCCAGAGGGGGGGGAGCGAAGGGATCGGAAGAGAGGGGGCTTCGACTGGGCTGTTCAGCGGCAGCTGCCGGCCCGGCGGGTGCGCGGAGTGGAGACCCCTCACACCCTCTGCCAGGCGAGGCCACCAGCGCCGGCTGCTGCTGCTGCCGCCGACCCCCTCCCCAGCCGCGCCGGTCCGGGAGCGCCAGTCGAGGCCGTATTTATGCCGGAGCCCCCCCCCCCCCCCCCCCCCCGGCGCGGCGGGACGGGACGGGGCGGGGCGGGAAGGGGAGGGGGCCTCGGCCGCCGGAGCCCCCCGGGGCAGCGGGGGGGGGCGGCGGGGCGCGGTGTCCCGTGGGCGCCGGGCACTGTAGGGGCGGTGTGGCGGCCGCTCGCAGCACTGACGGCAGCCGCTGCCGGCGGTCAGCTGCACAGTTCTTTTTTCTTTAACACCCCCCTTTTTGGGTTTGGTTGTTTTTTTTTTTTTTTTTTTTTTTTTTTTTTTCTGTTTTTTGTTTGTTTGGTTTTGGTTTGGTTTTGTTTTCATTTGAAGCAGCCCGCCCTTCCCCGCTGGTCAGGGAAGGCAAGGCTCTCCGATGCCCGAGGGTGCCGGTAGCCGCCGACCACCTGCCCCGGGGGACAGCGGTGCTCTCCGCTTCCCCCGCCTGGCTTCTCCTGGCGCCTCGCCGCGCTCTGCAGCGCGTTTCCCCGCGCGTCCCGGCCGGTGGCCGGCGGCGGTGCACACTTCGCGGCAGGGCAGCGGCAGCGGCTCCCATGGCGTCTCCCAGGGAAGAAACCCCCAACCCCGGGACAGGTTTCTCCGCGCCGGCCGCGGCTGTGCGGCTCTGCGGCCACTGGGTAACTACTCCGGGGGCGTTCGTGAGGGCGGACGGTGCGGGCGGCACCTCAGGGCGGCGGCGAGGCGCCGGGGTCGCCGCGGGTGCGAGGGGGAGAGGCAGGACGGAGCGGTCCTGCCCGGGGGCGGCCGCGCTCAAAATGGCGGCCGCCTGGTGGCGCTGCGCTCGGACGGAGGCGGCGGCGTGAAATGGCCGCCTCTAGGGGGGGGTAGCGGGTCGCCGCGCTGGGGCGCCCGGGCCGCGGGTCGGGGCGGGTGGGGCGGTGAGGTGAGGGGGTGAGGCGGTGAGCGTTACTCGGGAGCCGAGGCGCTGTCCTCTCCCCTGGAGAAAAAAACTTCCCAGCAGAAAAAGTGGATGCTAGGCCCGTTGAAGTGCGTTAGCCTTTCAGGAATTAGGATGTCCCTGCTCACGTCTGACCCAGGTGCAGTTCAGAGATACATACAGAGGTTGGAAAACATTCAGCAAGACTCAGGCACGGTTACTGAAACTATTTGACCTGAGGGCAAAAAGAAGTTGTGTGGGAGGGTGAGGTCTGGAGAGGCTGAGACACCCAGCTAGTGCCTGAGCAAGTGGCAGCCATATTTATCACAGGAAGTATTTGGTTCCTCCAATAAAGCAATGCAGCAGTGGTTTAGTAATGACGTACCAAAGGAGACCTGAGGACCAAGTTACCTTCAGCTATCACTTCAATCAAATTACTCTTTTCACATGAGCTATGATATATAAATTTGCATTCCAAGTTCCTGTTTCAACTCAAGCCCCTGTTTACCTTTATTCTGAAATCTTTGAAGAGATTGACTTCCCCTTGTGAAGTAGCATTTTGCTGCACACGTGGTTGCAGTGCAACTGGATTGCTTGTGCAGTATTTGTTATTTCAGGTAACTAGCAGTGGCAGAGTTTGGACCTTTGAGAAATGGGATGTTTTCTGGTAACATCTCTCAAGGGTCCTTGAGTTTTTACTCTGGTTCTGGAATGTCACTTGAGATGAGAAATTCTGTTCTTTTTCCAATACGGAAGCACTTCAGCAATTCAACAGTGTGATTTCATTGACTTCATGATTTAGAATAGTTACGGGTATTTTTAATGTACCATGAGCTAAAATTAATCACTCTACAGTTATAAATGTTGGTAAAATTTCAACTCACTCAAAATCATGGCAAAGCTTTGTCTTCAGTGGGGCAAAGGGCTGACTGAGAGAATCTGAAAAGGTAAAAAATGTCCATCAATGGTCTAGCCCCCAGTCCATGTGCCTATGCCTTCTCAGAGGGCATGTTGTGATGGTGGCTTCTTTTGTTTTTATATGATTTGTTTTTTGCAAAGATTCCTAAGCTGCAGTCCCCATTTTTTACTTACTTTGAGTACAGACAACTCTTAGTAACATTTTGTCATTACCCTCAAAAGATAAAATTTTATTTAAAGAAAACAGTATGTGTTTTGGATTCTGTACAAGTTTATTCTTTCACTGTATCCAGTGCTGAAAAGTGATATGTCCCAAGGAGATCAGCTATTGACCACCCTTATGCACTTAGAAGTGTATCTCCCAGCTGTTTCTGCGGGGCAGAGGAGCAAACTTGTGGAAACACTTCACTGTTATTACCGAGGTTCTTTGATCCAGAAGGAATTAACACTTTTTAATCATTATTGAACAGTTAAAAAGTAGAAATCAAAGTAGTTGGAGTAGTGCTAGGTATACAATAATGCTTAATAAGTATTAATAACAAATAGTTGTATGCTGTAACAACGGAACATGTAAATTGGGATATCAAAGCTTGGTGATGGCTGTGTGAACCACTTAAGACTCTCTCCGGATCATTGGTTTCATTTGTGGAAAAGGTAATTTTACCTAATATTTAGCCAGTGGTGGAGTGTATTGTGCCACTGTGTGTTTCTAGGTTATATTTGACCCCAGGAAAAGGCACTCTGGGACTTGAACATACATTGGTTATCTTGGGCAAAGTGGTAACAAATGGTGGGACTTGGACAAGCAATACAAGGAGATTGCCAGTAATTGCCCATCAATGTGCTTAAGTGCATTAATTCATCTAAGTGGAAAAGTCAGGAGAAGGCCGTGAATAGATGGTGAATTCTGCTCGGAGTGATCTTCCAGTGAAGTGCCCTTGAAGACTCCTTCCCTGCTGCTGCCACCAGAACTAACATTCGCTTTCCAGTATTATTCCCAGATATGTGTTTGTCCAGAAAGATGTTGTCTCTAACAGCGGGGCATAAAGAAAGTTCTTGCAAAGAACACATCCTGATGTGCTCTTCTCAATTTTCTGTGGCCATAGTGGAGAGGATGAAGGAGAGCATGATCTCCACCTAAAGACTTATAAGTGAATTCCTCCCTCTGAGAGTAGGCAGCAGCAAGGGCCCTTTCCGTGCAACCACTGGCAGTGCTTATGACAAGCATTTGGAAGTATGCCATTGCTACTGCCTGTTTGGAAGCCTCTGTGGCTGCAACTCATAATTTCGGCAAAGATTAGGTCTCTCCAGAACTTCCAGTTTGGATGCTGTGTTTAGGGTACTGGTGCTGCTATAGCTATTCTTAGCTGCCCCAGGTTGTATATTTGGATGGTTTGAGCATTGCTTTGGAAGTATGGATACAAAACGTGTGTATGAGCAAGCATTCAGGAGAGAAAGAGAATTTGTAAAGTTTCTGTAAGTGTTGCTGCCCTTACACCTGTTCCACATTCATCCTTCATCTCCTTTTTTTCAGGGTGTGATTGAGAAGGAAGCTGGGAAGGCAGAGGCAGATGGTACTTCCTATGCTGAGAAGCACAGACAGACTCATCATATACACAATAGACAGGTATTGTTAACAAAGTGTGAGATCATATTCACAAGCACATGTGCCCTCTCATTAAAAGCAGCATGTGGTGGACAAGAAGACCTTATTATCTAAAGTAACTGTTGGATTTCTCTTTTTCAGATGATAGAGTCTGTGAAAATAGCTGATGTGAGTTTATCTAAAATTAACGGAATTGTCTCTTCAGGCATGGGCTCTAGAATGTTTTGGAAAAGAGAGAGAGAAAGACCGAAAATCCGAGAATGTGTGGATACATTTGGCTAGCAAGATGAATATGAGAAGAGTCTCCGAGAAACAGACATAGCAGTATTTCAGGGAAAAAGAGGCAAGTAAGTCTTGTTTTGAAAAATTTAAATGCTGTTTTCTTTGTTATTCTGGAATTCATTTAAGGTAAAAAATACTCTTTAGTGCTGGTAACAGTGGAGGAGGCTATACCTACATTTCAGAACAGCATCAACTCTTAGAGGAACACTGTTGTAGATCAAACATTAACAGTAGTATTTGAAGTGGTTTTATGTGGTACTAGTTTATAGTTCAGTTGGTAGATTTGGTTTGTTCATACTTAGTTTTATTTTAATACTGAGAGGAATGGATTCCATTGTTTTTATTCATGTTGAGTAGCAGTCAGTGGAACTAATTGTTGAATAAGGTATGTTCAGCACGAGGATGGATGAATGTAGCCCCGATTGAAATATCTTTTATAAACTACTGCTGTATTAGAGAGCAGCCATCTCAACATAGGCAAATCTATCATGTTGCTAGAAGTGCTTCAAGCCATTCCTGTGGCACACTGCAGTATTTTTTACAGATGAATGCAGGGTTGTTTTAAAGTGATCCTCCTCCTGCAAGGTTGAATAATAATAACAAAGATCAGAAAAGCATCTCCACTGTGACTGTCTGTCCTGTATTACACCACCAACAGAAAGTAGGTGAGTTAATCCAGTTTTGCAGAAATGGCTGCTTAACTGCAGCTGTGCATAAAAGAGTTTACTGAAAATGTTTCATTGCACAGTGTTCTTAATGCAGTTTTCTGACATTTGTTTGCATTCTGCAGTCAACTCTTCCATCTTGTGCAACTTTCTAAGAAAAGTACTGGTGCAGTTTTATATACAATGCAGAATCTCCTGAAGAAGAATACTAGCATGTTTGTGTGGTAAGTGAAGGAATACAATGTAGATACAAAGTACCATTTTTAATTTATTTTCAAGCATAACATGAGTATTGCTTACAGTGTTACATAAAAGTGTGAGACAGCCTTTCAATGAAGTAAACCCCAATTGCATAAAAGATGTTATACATGATGACGAAAAGTCCCTAGCTTTAGGGAGCTGATCTAGGCAGTTGCTCTTACATGACCCTGGTAGCCAAAGTACAGAAAAAGACGCATTCCTGGGGGAGGTGAATGTAAGGAATTTGGACACCTCTGAACTGTAATCAAGGTGGCTAAAGTAAAGGCCTTAAGTGTGGTAGTGCTAATAGCCCCACCTAATTGAACACTGCCCTAATTCAAACACAAAACTAATGAGTGACCACTCTCTATGATGCAGTTCTAGTTGTGTGCTGCATTTTCACTAGGACTTTACTCCTCTACTGAAGACCAAGATAGGGAATGCAAGAAATAGCAGTGGTACCATAGTAATACCATAATTTAGCTAGCTGAAAGGGTCTGTATGGTAGTTAAAGCAACTGTCCTAGGTTAAATCTGGACAGAGCTTTAGAGCTAGTGTCTTCAGTGATACTTGCAAAATACACACTAGTACCTATAAAGATCACATTTAATGAGAAACCCTATATTAGCTCTCATCTGCTTGCTGAGGATGAGAAAAGCCAACTAGGCAAATAACTGTAGAGAAAACCCACTGTTTTTCCACTGTTGAGGAAATGTTTGCATCCTTCATTGTGGAGAAGTACATCACTAGGAACAGCTGGGTGATAAGTCAGTGAATTAGACTACTTATTTAAATTGCTACTATGGTAGGAATAAGAATACTTTGTTTTAAAACAAGGCTTTAAAAAAGTTCATTATGTTAGTATATTTATTAGTAATGTAAAATGTGTTAGTAATATAAAATATTTAATAATATAAAACTAAATCTTTGTGTTTTCTGCCACATAGAAGTTTCCTTGTATTAAAGTTGCATTTGTTTTTTTTTTTTTTTTAAATAAAAGTTACATATACTCTTAAAAATAATTTGCACTAACTAATCCTAATAATGATTTAAGACAGAAAAGAGGCATAAAAGCTTCTGGCTTCTAGGAAGAATTGCATAGATAAGCGTGCAACTAACGCTGATAGTCTAGGTAACTAGCAACCTTGCTATCATTTAAACAAAATAGTATGGGCTACATTTTGAGTTACAACTCTGTTAACGGAGGACAAGGGACCAGGGTGTAAAGCAGGAGGAGCCATTCAGCATCACATCTCCTGAATTCTGGTCTCAAGTTCACCCTCCGTACAGGTCTGCCTTAGGAGCTGCCTTAGGAGCTGCCCGGTAGCTGCAACAGCCACAGCATTACAGACTCTCCCTGCCCTGCTTCACTTTTGCTCCTGTCCCATCATTGCACTGTGGCAGCATGGTAGTGCAGTGTATGGTTGCATATATTGGCCCTATACCGTTTCTGTGCTGGGAAGATTCTCTCTGGGGTCGCTTCAGACCCTCTGCAGCTCCTGTACGCTGCTGGAGAGGCGGGCAGGGGCTGCAGTGCTGACTAGACTCTGGCTCTATGCCTGTTCTGAACTCTTTCTGCAACCGGTCCATAAAGTAATCTCCAAGACTGTTTCTGCCATCCTGGGAACAGTCAAGCCTGCGAGCATTGGTCAGTAGATCTCCCATCAGCTTGATCTTCCGGATTTTGGGTCCAATAAATTGTTTCTTGATAGTGCTTGCGCTATGAGGATCTGCATTTTCAACGCTCAGGGCATAAAGCTCTTCAAAATATCGTATCATAGTTTTCCACTGTACCATTGCCACCTCCAGTGCTTTCATCAGACCAACTGCATAATCACAGTTTGGTTTCTAAAAACAAAGACAGAAATACATTTATTCAGAAGAACAGCTCATCTTACTGTATACATTGACGGTTTCCTGCAACTTACCTGTCACTCTAAACAAGATATGCTAGGACTTTGCAACAATTCATTCTAGTGTGGAGCATCTGTTGATTTTTTGCGGAGTTAGATGGCTGTAAATATACAGAAGTGGCAGAACCCAAGCCCTTTTTGAAGGAACAGAGATTTAAATAGCAGCAGCTATGCCTGAGGAGTGTTCTTACACCAGGAAACCTTATTGTGTTCTGGTTTCAGCTGGGATAGGGTTAATTTTCTCCCTAGTAGCTGGTATAGTGCTGTGTTTTAGATTTAGGATGACAGTAATACTGGTAACACATTGATGTTTTAGTGTAAACACTGCTTAGCAACAAGTCAAAGACTTTACAGCTTCTCACACCACCCCCACCATCAAGGAGGCTGGGGGGCATAAGCTGGGAGGGGACACAGCCAGGACAGCTGACCCAAACTGGGCAAAGAGATACTCAATACCATGAGACATCATGCTTGGTATATAAACTAGGGGAGGGGAGTGAGCAAACAACTGTGTGGTGTTTAGCTGCCTGCTGAGTTAAACCCTGACACAGAATGGTTTGGGTTAGAAGGAACCTTAAACATCATCTAGTCCCACCACCCCTGCCTCGGGCAGGGCCCCCTTCCCCCAGCCCAGGGTGCTCCCAGCCCCGTCCAACCTGGCCTTGAACCCTTTCAGGGAGGGGGCATCTACCACCTCTCTAGGCAACCTGTTCCAGTGTCTCACCACCCTCACAGTAAAAAAAATCTCTTCTTCATATCTAATACAAATCTACCCTCCTTCAGTTTAAAACCACCACCCCTCATCCTATCACTACACTCCCTGATAAAGACTCCCCAGCTTTCCTGTAGGTCCCCCTCTTAAGTACTGGAAGGCTACTTTAAGATCTTCCCTCATTCAAACTGAATACTTAGAAAGTGTTTCAAGATGGCATTTTTACTTTCACTTCCTACAGCTTAACAGCTGCTATGTATAGGCCAAAGAAGAGCATTCTGTATTAACTCTTCACTGAATACTAATGTGATAGAGGACAATCAGCCCCTTGGTCTTTAACAGATGAGGTGGTGGGGTTTTTTTTCCCCAATAATTTTGAGTTATTTTTTTGTACCTGTGCAAGCCTGCCTCCGATCTCTAGTTCAAATTCTATCTTGAGCTGTGCTCCAACAGATCAAACTGCTGCCCCAGGCTGGATGCTTCTCCTACCTCCTTCCTTACCACCTTTCTTAGGTGCTAATGGCTTCTAGGCTTCTGTTTAGTTTCAGTGTGAAGGGAGACAAGTGGGCTGTTTCAGCACAGCTTAAGGAGTCTCATAATCCATTACAGCACACTGGAAACAGCAGTCTCCAGCTGAGTTAAAGAGGACCATTGTTCACATTCCTTTGGGCTAGAAAGCAACCACACAGAGTTAGGACTGTGTATCTGAGTTTCTAGGCATCACAATCAAGAACAAAACCATGTACACTAATATAACAGGGAAATTCTGTCTGGAAATCTCACCGTGGATGAATGCAGAGATCTGGAGTGCCAACAATATAATGCAAGAAGAGTACTGTGGATTGCAACTGCTTGAAGGTGTGTTGTCTACTACCCACCTGGATGGTTTTAGAACAGTAATGGCCTCCTCTTTCTTGCTGATACTTCATCAAAGCCTCTGCAGCTTTTCTCTCTTCCAGAGCTTGATGCAAGAAGAACTTTGAAACATTTGGTAAAGCCACATGTGACTGATCAAAATATTCACCCTAAGCACACAAAACATGAGTGTTAAGATTTGGTGGAGACAGGACTCACTTGCAGCAGAACATGGCTTTATCAGAATGCCGGAGACTCTTCCCATGGAAGCTGTTCTACCACCACAATCACTTGGAAGACCTTAATCCAAATTTCTGCAATAAATAAGTAGTTAGGTCTTAAATGAAAAATCTCTATACTTCTAGTAGAACTCCTTCTGTCCTTTAATACTGGACAGGTAACTGTAGCACTGATGTTGTGTCTCAGTAGCAGTCAGAGATCCTCAGAATATTTTATTTATGAGTGGTTGCAGGGTGTGCGTGGGTTTTTGTTGTGTTTTGTGTGGGCTTTTTGCTTGAGTTTTTTTGTTTTGTTTTTTAAGCACAGTCCCAGCAGAGGGAACATGAGATTTATCCCTTCAGGTCAGCATTCCAGTGAAAAGTTAGCTTTCAAAGGTATGAGAAAGATGAGGCAAACACCAGAAAGAGAACAAGCACAGTTTTGTATTTATTTATCAGCTTCATTATGGATAATGTTATTCCCAAATAAAGAATACTGCTACTGAACTATACGGTATACACCTTTAATATTGTATGTAGCTCATGTCTGGGAATACTTAAGGAGTATTAAAACCCCAAACCCACTGTAGGCCTTGTTCAGCTCTGTATGGGAAAATAACTACTTTAACCACTGCAATATCTAACTATGCTGATAGATCTGCTAGCTCTTACATTAGAGGAATGTTACCCATGATATTGCTGTGCCATAAAGAGAACATTTAAAGATAGGTAACAAATAGGTAACAAAGCAGAGCCACCAGGTTATACTAGTTTCAACCTTGTCTCTGCACAGCTCCGACATTAAAGCAGTAGCTGGGAATATGCCGAGAACAATTGAGGGAGCTACAGCATCCTGATCCACGCTTGCCTTAAACATATATATTGCAATACAGAACATCTTCTGTCTCTTGGACATACTCTGGATTGGAGTGCTGCATATCAAGCAGTTGGCTCGTAGCCTGCCCAGGAGGGGTAAGGAACAAGTAAATGCATTTCCTAAGCTTTTCTGCTTCTTATCATCTTCCCCGCTTTCATCTATTACCCTGCTTAAATATGAAATACCTGTGTTTCATCTGTGTTGCTTTGTTTAGAAAAAATGCAGAAGAGTTACATATACAATAAGTTTATGTTTTTCTCTTATATTTTTATGGCCATCTGGAATACCCTATAGCTGTGACACATACACATGTGTGACCATAAACCATTCAAGATAAAGTACATACTGGAATGTTTTATTCAGAACATTCATTGCAATATTTGCATAATCCTTTTCCAGAAGTCATTCATTCATGTTTCTGTTGACAGAAGAGTCAAGATTCAGTGTTTTATAACCAGTTCCTCAGTGCAAGTGTGCTCCATGCCTTCAAGTAGAGCACAAGTTACCACACCTGCTTAGCTGTTAAGGTAAATCTTTTAAGTCAACCATTGGCCATTTCAGACGTTCACATTTCTAGGTTTGATTTATCCACAGTCAATTTCTAACTGAGCTTTCTCCATCCCACCCAGCTGCCAATTACTAGTATTTTAATCCACATGCTTAACAAGCAGAGGCTTTACTGCATACTTAAATTTTTATTGGGCTAATATTTGACACCAAGATTGATCAAAGAATCCTGGGGATATATTGAATATAGTTTGTGTTGCTTCTCCATGGATGCTTGGCATCAGAAGGGATGGAATTGATTTTTTTTTTTTTAAGGTCTTTATTAAAATATATGTTGCCTTAATATTTGATATTGCCAGACACAATTTTGGCATGTATGTTACATGGTATCAGAGATAACTTTTTTAATTTACATCCAACATTTCTGCGTGTGGAGCAGAAAACCCTAAGCCAACAGAAATGTTCACAAACTGTTATCTCACCACTTAACGTACCAAGGTTGAGGGAAAAAAACGCCGAAGAATTACACTCCAAAGCTATTCCCTGATCCTGTCCCTCTTTCCACAGGCATAACCCTCTATGTGAAGTACCCAGACTACACGAGCACCTGACTCGTCCCCCGCTTGTTCCTGACCTCCGCGGTCGTTTCTCCAGCGGTGTGAGCGGCCACCCCGCGGTAAGCGCAGCGGCGCGGACCCGAGCTCTGACAGGAGCGCTGCTGCGCCGCGGGGGCTGGGTGCCACGGGGACCCCTGATCCCACCGGGTCAAGGAACGGGGCCGGCACCGCTCCTCCGCCGCTGCCCCGCTTTGAAACCCTCCTGAACCCGCGGCAGCGCCGGCGGGACCCGCCCCGGCCACCTCCCGGCTCTGCCGCCCGGCGCCCGGGCAGGGCGAGGAGGGAACCCCACGCTGCGCCCTCGGCCGCTCCCGGGACGTGCCCGCCCGGCCCCGGCCCCGGCCCGCCGCCTTACCAGCGCCTGCAGGCAGTAGGCGAGCTCCAGCTGGGCGCCGGTGACGCCGCAGAGGCCTTCCTCCACGGCGGGCGGGAAGCTCTGCCTCACCCGGCTGCCGGGCAGCGGGCGGTGCGCCGGGCAGGCGGGCAGCGTGACGCGGAGCCGCTTGGAGCGCGGCTCGGCCGTGGCGGGCGCCGCCATGGAGCAGCCGCGCCGCCCCGCCGCGCCGCCAGATATAGCCCGGGCACCTGGGACACACCTTGCCGCGCTCGGCGGCGCCGGGCCGCCCCCTCCCCGCCTCCCTCTCGGCCCCCCTCCCGGCCCGCGCCCACGGGCGGTGCGTGGGGGCCGCCCGCCCTCGCCGGGGGAGCGGCGCGGGGAGGGGGCGGCCGGGCGAGCGCCGCCATTTCGTGCGGCTCGGGGAGCCTCATCCACTCCTCGGCTCCTCGTTCCCCCTCGGCGATCTCCGGCGCAGCCCGCCCTGCGCGGCCAGCAGCCCGCCCTGCGCGGCCAGCAGCCCGCCCTGCGCGAGTGGCAGGTGCCGGGCAGGCCGCGATGCGGTGCGGCACCTCGCACTTCCCCGCTGCCAGGCGTCGGTCGCCAGGGCGGGCAGGGCCGGCCGGTGACTCGGCACTTGTACAGCTTATTTGAGGGACCGTCGCCAGCGACGCCCACACTTAAATACCTCCTTTTAATAGCGAGCGACGTGCGAAAGCACAGCGTGGTAGAGTCGAGGCCGGAGCAGTTGATGGTAGCTTGCACTGGGATGCAGTCGTGGGGAGGGAGTGATCTGTGAAAAAATCCCGGGAATTTTAACAGTGTATCTGTATGTGTCTTGGTTACAGGATAAATTTTTTATCTTTTTGGGTTTAGCGCTAAAAATGTTTGTGTCAAACTGGTCCCATCTAGGCAGATTAAACCATCTTCAGTGTTTCAGGAACTAATAATCCTCACTTTGTACAGTAACTTCAAAATACAGTTTTTAACTGCTTGAACTGCTTTACCATATGGATGGAGCTCTTGTGTTACTGCTTGAGCATTTATTTACCCTTAATAGATTCGAGCCAGTGGAGTAGAAATCTGAGTAATCTTAATACCCTTCAAATTTGATATTTTTCTGTTCAGTGACTTTGTTCAGTAAGCTTCATGTTACGTGCCGTTCTGTGGAATACTTTTCTAGCAGATCAGCCCACTCCCCCACAAACCCATGATGCTCAGGGCTGAATCCTTATTCCATTGCATGTTTTAATTGTTATTGGATCTGACTAGCTAGAGCAGAGCACGCCTCATCTGAGAGTAGTCACAAAATATGTGAGAAAATTACTCGTGAAAAACTTACATACCTCTAGTTCAGTACCTCCATCTTGTATGCTATTCAATCCCCTGTTTACTGTAATTGTCCATTTTTTCATTCTTCCAATTCTTCCTGCTGTAGTTAAGGTAAATTAGAAGTTTCAGCAAATAAAATGTAAAATAGCATGCTAAATTCACTTAAAAAAAACACCAACATTTAAACGTGCTTATTTTAAGCATTTGAGTAAAACTGCATGTGAGTAAAGTATACCTGTAATGATTGCAAGGCTAAAGTAAGTACCTTATTTCATAATTTACAATATATTAATTGACAAGACAGTTCAACAATATATGACCTTAGTTCAACCTTGTTCTGAAGTTCTCAATAAGCGTCCTCTTTTTCCCTGGAGCAGTAGGAATTTCTGCTGGGAGGATGTACTTCTAACAGTTATCTTTTAGCTCCCTCCACTCCAACTGTTTTTGTTTTAGCTAGTAAAGTAGTGTTTTATTATTCCAGAATATCCCTGATGGCCTCGGAAGAGGAACAGCAAGTGTGGTGTGTGTGTGTGTGTGTGTGTGTATGCACTGACATCGTAATTTAAATAGAATACTTGATGACTCCTTTCTGTGGGCAGCTCAGATAATTTGAAGTGTGAAATCACAATAGAAGGCAAGTGTGCTAGTGTCTCTGTGGAAAAGTTTATAGTTGTATTTTGTTAGATGGGCATTCATGACAGTAATTTCTGAGCATATTAACTCACAGATGCTTGTATCTGTATTAGTGGACTTCTGATCCCTCAGAAGTCAACAAGTTATCCCATTTCAGTGATGGAGAACTAAGAAAGACATTTTTTAAGGCCACCTGTGATGTATGGGGCTGATCTGAAAATTGACTAAATTTCCTTAATCTCCATACATTCTTTAACCCCTTTTTATTAAACACTGTTCGATTTATTTTACTTTGTGCTTCATAGAACTAAAGGAAATATATGTCATTTGTACTGTAATCAAATGTATTCTGGAAAAATCCCATCACAAAGTAATGTAGGGATTCTTGCTATATAGAATGAGGTGGTGTCATATGCTGGTTACTGAGGAGAGTATCATCTGTTCCAAAAACTTGTGATCTCAAGTCTTGGTTTTCAAGGAATTCTGTATCCTGGGGAACAAGCGCTTCCCTCAGTTTCTTAGTTACAACATTTCAACATGGCATAGAGTAAGTGCAGCTACCTGCTATCAGGTAGGGTTGCTTTTAAGATAGGCTGCTTTTTTTCCCACCTGCCTTAAACTGAAGGGAAAGTCTTGCATCTCTCTCCCAAACTGTGTGCTTTGGAAAAGTTATTACTTTTTTGGGGTAACAGTATCTGTATATCTCTTCGATAAAATTGACTCTGGATTAGATCCTTATTCCCACTAGGTCCTGGAAGTATGTACAGATTTCGTCAGTGAACTGATGTTGGGGTGAAGAGGGTTGGACACTGAGTGATCCCGACTGAATGAAAACAAGAGCAGATAGTTATGTGCATGTCACTGCAGAAAGAGTTGGTGACATCTATAAATAGGTGATAGGATTGATCCTGCTTATTCCCATTATCTAGGATTATTTAAATGTGCAATGTTAGGCACATGCCTTTATGAAAGATGTCTCTATTTTTATAATTTGTCATGATTTTGGTACAATACTTTTTTTAAAGAGTGTTGAACATGTATGGCAGACTGGGAAGTCAAACAACCACAGCATGGTATACAAAACTGCAGTTAAAATTCCAGAAAAATAAGGTCTTTTACACACACGCCCGCACATACCTGCCCTGCCCCCCACTCCCCCCCTTCCTTTTTTTTGGTTGGCAGAGTGCTGCAGAGAGGACTGTTGCTGTCAGTGGGCTTTAGCAATCATGTGAAACTATCCTTTCTACCGACACTACTATGCAAACAATTAGTTGTATCTGGCTGTTTTCTGCCTTACTTCTCTCTCATTTAAAGCTAGGCTCTTTAAGCTGCACTTTATAATCAGGAGGTTATATTGTTTGTTAACCACAGGTAGTAAGAGTTGTGGCTGTTGCTTCTATCCAGCTCCCATCTGTTAGCTTCTTTCTAGCTGTGACAGATTTTTCATGTGCTTTGCAAATAGTGTATTTAATGCTGCCAGACTTTTTTCTTATGTGATCATTCAGTGCCCATCAATAGCTATGATGAAAACGGAGGGCTGTGTGAGGAAAAAGTAATAAATAAATAAATGCCTGATATGTATGCCTGTGAATTCGCCTTCTTCATTCATGATTTTGTTTTGTAATTAAGTGAAACCTAAGGTCTCTGGCAGGAAATGGAGAATGATTCATACAAACACCCGTGAATTCACAATTGCTTGTATTGGACTTGAAGTCACTTAACCCATTTTTCTGTATGCTTTTCCATTCTCAACAGGTACTTCATTTCACTATTTTATCAGATCCCACTCTTTTATTTCCTTTTTCCATGGAGGAAAAGCCAGCAAGACTTCTGAGTTGTTTTGTTGCCTTTTTGCACTGTATGACTCATAAAGTTAAAAAAGCAGCCTGAAATTTGGGAGCTTACTACTTGAGTAAGCATAGAAAAATAACTTTTTTTAACTGTCTCACGGTAAAAGTAGTCATCAGCAAAACATGAGATGGCCCTGGGATGACAGTAGTACTGTGACCAGGCTGTGAGGCAGACATTCTGGAAAATACTTTTTGTCTGTATGTCACGGAGCAAATGGAAAAATCCAGTTCATTGCAGTGCTGTGAAATCAGTGTGTTTTGGCAACACAAGAGAAGGATATCCCACAAGTAGAAGTTAAAGCCTAGTCCCCTTGAAGTCAGAGTCTTAATCTTGTCGGTAGCAAACAGAGCAGACAGGAGCCTATTTTTTGGGCTTACAGGTACTGTGTTTTATATATATATTCAGTTTACTAAAATGAGGCACCACAATGAAATCCTGTCTGTAAAATACCTGGATTAATTTTGATTTGGAAGTAATTTTTGAAGTGGCTTTTTTTGGCACCCCAAATACTCCACAGTGTACCTTTCCACTGCTTTCCTTTTCTAGGGAGTCAAAGATTTTCTTCCTCACACGGATATTTTTGTATTTGCAAAACATCCTTTACTGCAGTGTTTAAAGCCAGTTGAGATGTTTGAGGATGTTCTTCAGTTGTACTGGAAACAGCCATGTCTTTTTTTGACTTCATTCAGTTTTCCCACTTTGCATCAGTAGCCTGCTAAAGTTGCGACATTTTGCGCCTCTGATGTAACTGTTATCTCGGGCGGTTCAGTTCCATGGGCTTCCTTGACACAAGTCTGCATGGCTCAGATACTGAGAAGTTAGCTCATCCGTCTCTTCTTTTGCAATGAAGTTCTTCCTTAAGGAGCTTTCCAAATGCTGGATAATATAAACCGTTGTGATACAGAGAGAGTTCTTTGAAACTTTACTGACAGAAATTTGTCCTTCAAACGGAACCTGCCCGCAGTCCGTGGGCATTTTTATGACGTGTCTGAAACAAAAATAGAAGCCAAGCTCATAAGAGTTTCTGAAATACAAGCAAAGCTTATCTTTAACCTTGTGTCACAGGACAGGTATAGGAGGGTTTCTTAATTCATACAATTTTCTTCTCTGCAGTTTTTAAATTAGATTATCTTTAATTAATGCTCGCTTTTACCATGAGACCCTTCCCGTAGCAGAGTGTTTGCTTCTGGTGATGCCGTGAGGAGACAGGCAGCCTCAGCTCCTCCCCTGCAGGGTGCTGCGGGGTGCGGCGGGGCGCAGGGCCCTGCAGCGCAGCAGGGAGCTGCTGTGGCCACTGTGGCTGATGCTCAGAGCTGCCCTGTGACTTTTGTGTTCAGGATGCAGCTTGCCTGCTCAGCGCCTGCCCTTGCCCTCCTGCCACTCCCCAGGCACCCCTCCCTTCTCTCTCTCCCTGTTGGCTCTTTGCAGCTGCTGCCACAACTACAGTGCTTGGGCAGATTTGTCCTCTCCCTCTGCTCCCACCCCCTCTTCTGTGGGCCCCCGTGAAATCTCCATGCCAACAGCAGCTTTGGGGTCTCTGTGTGTGGCGGGGAGCTCTGCTGTGAAGCCTCAAAGATGGAACTGAGTCTTACCTAACTGCATGGGTAGTCTCTCGGCTGTGGCTGTTACCCTGCCTCAACCTGGTTTATGTTTGACACCTTCAGCTAGCTTGTTGCATCTCAAGTCAAGCTGCGTGTGGCCATGTTTGAGTGTGTGTGACTGTGTACATGTGTGTAGACTTCTTAATGCTGGGGCCGCAGGTAAAACTGAGCTGCAGCCACTCTGACTTGTGTGTAGGAGCTGTAT